CTTCTTACTCAGCACACCAAGCATCTTGCATTTGGTTCAGTTGGAAATAACAATAATATTTATATCTCATCTACTATGGAACATGCCTGTTTTAAATCCTTTCTGTTGGCTCAATCCTTACAACACTATGAGGAGAGGAACTATCTATCACAACCTCAGATTACAGATGAAACTAAGAAACGAAAGGTTCGAGCAACTTGTCCAAGGTGACACACAGGGCCAGGGCTCGCTAGTGGTAGTTGGGATCAACCTCCAGCATTCTTGTTCTTAAAATTCCACATTGTATACCTCTCAGCCCACAAATGAGGTTGGGTACCAACAGTCATAAGCTAACACAGAGTATTTACATTAAGGAGGAAGCACACACATGCTTACCAAGGTGAAGAAAGTTCTGCCTTTAGATTGGTTATCACCTTATGTATCAAGAGATTACAAAATGTCAGTCCAAAAATCCACTCACGGGGCTGGGGATGTGGCTCAAGTGGTAGCGCGCTCGCCTGGCATGCGTGCGGCCCAGGTTCAATCCTCAGCACCACATACAAACAAAGATGCTGTGTCCACCGAAAACTAAAAAATAAATATTAAAAAAATTCTTTAAAAAAAAATCCTACAAAAATCCACTCACACAAAATGGTGGACATGTTACTGAGATACAGCAACAGAAAAGAGTGGCCCAGCTGGTGGAATGAGACAGACATCATTACTCTAGGTACATGTATGATTGCACAGATGGTGTGACTCTACTTTGTGTACAACCACAGAAGTGAAAAATTGTGCTCTATTTGTGTACAATGAATCAAAGAGTATTCTGCTGTCATGTATAACAAATAAAAATTAAAAAATAAAAAAAAAAGAGAAACAACAAAAAAAGTAGTGATCCACTGAAAACTCCCCTGGTGCTAATGAGAATGGGCCACTTGCTAGTGGGAATGGTAAGCAAAAAACAAAAAATAAAATCCTATAAGCCTCAAAGAAGGAAGAGAGGAACATACCAGTTACTTGTATTTCATTTAAAGCATACCCAATGTATGAAAATTCATGTTTACAGACAAGATGAACTAAAATGACCTTATTTCTATTACTAAAGGAATCCATTTTAAAAAGGAGGAGGACATATCGAGGAGCAGAAAGGTGGGGGGAGCTAGAGGAGGAGCAGGAGTTATCTGGCCTGGATGTCAATGGTGTTTGGTGGGTTAGAATTATAACTAGGATCTGTTACTGTTCTTTTCCAATTATTCTAAAAACTTAAAGGTATCTTTAACAACAAAGGAACATGATTCAGTTCGAATGTAAGTTGAGGCCTTAGAAGCCCATCACATACAGACTAGAGGTTCAGTGTGGGTTCTAGAGACAGCCGATTGGAGTAGAATGCCAGGCCTTCCTCTTACCTGTTGTGTGAACTTGAGCAACTTGCTCGCTCTGTGTTTTGGATTCTTCAACTGTTAAACAGAGGATAATCATGGTCCTTCCCTCAGAGGTCATGTCAGCGGTATGATGGCCATCAGTACCTAATTTTCATGAGCACTACATGTGTTAGCTACTATTTTTACCAGCCATCAACTTTCTCAGGTCACTGATTTGTGGCCATCTCAGTATTTTTAACTCATAAATCTGTATAATGAGAATTTCTATTTCACAGGGTAGTTGGTGAGGATTAAATAACACAGAATAACAATGGAAAATTAGAAAAAATCATACAAATATAAGTGGGTATAATTTTAGGGAGCCCTGAAGCCACTTATTGCACCACATACATAAAAATTATGCTCCTGAACTGGGTGGAAGCATTTTCTAGTATCTGGAGCCAAAATCAAGTTACAATTTGCTTAAGTGAACTTAAAAAAAATTGGGGGGTGCTGGGTATTGAACCCCAACTCCTCCCACATGCTAAACAAGCATCCTACTACTTACTATCAAGCTATCCACCCTCAGCCCACTAATAAACTTTAAAAAAAAAAAAAAAAAACCCAAACTTTTTTGGGTGGTTGACAGGTCAGCAGACTCCCAGATATGGAGAAAAAGATTAAGGCTAAGTCTGCAATGTCTTTTCTGTGTCTCTGCTTCTACTGCAGCAGCTCAATTTAAACACCTAGAGCCAGCTAAAACATGGTCAAAAAAGATAAGGAATGCCAGGTGTGGTGGCCCACTCTAAATCCCAGAGACTCCGGAAGCCAAGGCAGGCGTTCTAGGCCATCCTCAGCAACTTAGCAAGGCCCTAAGCAACTAAGTGACACCTTGTCTCAAAATAAAAAATAAAAAGGTTGGGGATGTGCCTCAGTGGCTAAGTATGCCTGTGTTCAATCCCTGGTACCAAAACCAAAAACAAACCAAAAGGGTGTGTGGGGGGGTGGGACTACAAGAGTCCAGGCACAGTAACACTAAAGTCTTCATAATCTGATTCTAGGATGAGACCACTTTTCTTTTTATCTCAGTTCTACTTTCTAACAGTTCTGCTATCTCTGTAACCTGAAGGGAATAGAAGGGAGGAATACTGACATTTCTGCTTAGGGAATGTTTAGATAAATGCTGGGAGGAAGTGATGGGACTTCCAAGCACCAGTGAGGTTTTTCACCTCACATGACCATGCATGCCTCTTCCTCCTCCCCATCTGAACCCCTACTCCACAATTTAACATGCTCACCCTTCTGCTGTCTGCAGAATTAATATGGTTGATCCCTCTCCTGTAGATGCTCTCACTCTCCTTGCTTCCTTGGAACCTTCTCTTATTTTCCTCCTTCCCCACTTCCCCTTTATCATAGAGGCTTGCCACTGTGTAGGATTTCTGTTCTCCTCACACATTTTGAACAAGGCTAGTATGGTTGAAGTGAAAAGAATGACAGTATGCCTGAAAATGAGATTAGGGAGAAGGACCCAGAACAAAGACTGCAGAAGTTGGATTCTACTTTGTCATGAAAAGCCATTAAAGGAGTTTTGAACAAGTTTTGTACATATTTGGTTTTTAAAAGATAACACCAGTTTCTTTGTGATTAGTCTAAAGGGGACAAAAGTGGAATCGACAGATGACTGTAGCAAAAGCAGTAACTACAGTGGTGCTGGTAGAGGTGGTGAGAAGGGGTCAGATGTGGAATATTAAAATGGTAGGAACTGGAGCAACATTTTATTGTTTTTTCTTGTTGCCACTGTTTGAAATCTTCTATAGTACAAAGATAAAACAATAATGAAGAAACACAAATTGGACCTTTCTCTGGCTAGAGTGTCTAGGAAAGATGGGTGCTTAATTTTATTTGAGCAGTATGGTTTGAAATGGCTTATCCCCTCCAAAAACCCTATTGTGAGGTATTAAGAGGGTGGAAACTTAACCCAACTATGGTGATTAGTAGTTGGGCCTTTGAGAATTGATTAGGACTTAGGTAAGATCATTAGGGTGGAACCCCATCATTGAAGACTGGTGGGTTTATAAGAGGGAGGACATAATGACCGTGAACACTTCCCATGTGATGCCCTCTGCTGCCATCAAGAAAACCTCACTAGATATAATCCCTAGACCTTGGATCAGAATCATGAGCCAAAGTAAACCTTTTTTCTTTATAACCCAATTAGTAGTATGATTATTAGCAACATAAAACAGACTATGGCACTGTGAGTTAGAGCTTCCAGAAAAAAGCTTAAGAATCCTGCGAGGGCTGGGGTTGTGGCTCAGTGGTACAGCGCTTGCCTAGCATGTATGAGGCCCTGGGTTCGATCCTTAGCATCACATGAAAATAAATAAATAAAATAAAAGTACTGTGTCCAACTACAACTAAAAAATAAATATTAAAAAAAAAAAAAGAATCCTGTGAGAATCACAGCCTTTGGGACAGGAGTTCCCTGTGTTTCTCCTTTGCTAGCAAAGCAATAAAAAAAAAATAGAGTCCTGCCACAAAATCTTTTCTCTCTGGAGAAAAGAGAGGATCATCTGTTCAGATTGCCTAAAATGAGGAGCAAGTGGTAAATTTTCACGATGAAAAGGACCAAAGGACTTTTACAAATAAAGATTCTGAGTCTTTTGAAATCCTGACAATCATGCTGTCTCAGATCTGTGGGAGGAAAATTCATATAAATGATCCAGTGTTCTCAGGAAATCAGAGATCAGTTGGTGACCCAAGAAAACCTGAACAAAAATTATGTGGGGAGAATTTTCCCTTGAGTTCAAAGAAACCCATGGTTAGTATCTATCTAACAGCAGAGTTTAAAACTCCAGTTTTCAATAGTAGAACAAACTGCCAACGTTGCCTAAGGAGAGATTGTGAAACCAGTGTTTTGATGTCAAGGTGATATGCACTGGTGTGTTTATGTCAATTAGTTTTATCGAGGTACAATTTATAAACAATAAAATCCACCCATTTATGTGAGCAATTCAGTGAATGCAGTCATGTAGTCAAATCTGATATAGAAAATTTCCATCCCTCAGGCTGGTCTGAAGGTAGTGAGTTATCCCAATTGAATGATCAGACAGTTACAGAAAATTTCCATCCCTTATGCCACTTCAGTCACCTCTTACCCCACGAACAACCACTAAACTGCTTTATCTCATTACAGATTTGCCTTTTCTAGAATTTCCTATACATTATGCAGTAATTTGAGACTGAATTCTTTCCCTTGGCATAATGCTTTTGCAATTCATCCCTGTTGTTTTCTCAGCAGTTTCTTTTTACTATGAAAAAAGTATTCATTATATGGATCTCTGGTTTGTTTTGCTTTTTCATCTTCTGATGGACACTTAGGTTGTTTTCACTCTATTACACCTGTTATAAACTTGCAATGAACTTTCATGTAAAGGCTATGGGTGAACATTAATTTTCACTATTCTTAAAATAAACCTCTAGAAGTGGAATTGCCATGCCAGGTGATAAGTTTGTCTCACTTTATAGGAACAGCCAAATTGTTTTCCAAAGGGCTATACCATTTTCCATTTCCATTAGTAACTTGATCCCTGCTCTTGAATTTTAGAGAGGGCTACGTAGAACCTAAAGGAAATATGAAAAACATAAGGCACATAATTTGAAGAGAAACAATAAGTCTAATTTCTCAAGAGAATGTGAACAAAGAAAAACATGCCCTGCTTGGATAAACATAAAGTTCTTGCAGTTAAAAATTCTGGATAGGATACATAGTTCTAATAACACTGCTAAATTGCACAGCACAGATGTTTTCACTCTGTCATCAACCAGAATAATAGTCCACTCATTGTATACCATAACACAGTGCTTGATACTTAAATACTTTAAATGGATGAATGATTTTTCAGTGAGGGAACATATATGAATAACCTTACTATCTATCTCCTTCATGAGATGCAGTAAGAGTTACACTAAAAATATTTGAGTCTTTATAGTACAAGTACTCAAAAGCCTGAACAGGTTCATGTCACTTAATGGGGATCTTTCCTGTGAACTCGCTGGTGGATGTGAAGGTTGGAGCTCTGGCTGAAGCCCTTTCCACATTTGCTGCACTCATAGGGCTTCTCTCCAGTATGCACTCTCTGATGGATGAGGAGCTTGGAACTCTGGCTAAACCCTTTCCCACACTTGCCGCAGTGATAGGGCTTCTCCCCAGTATGGACCCTGAGATGGATGCGAAGGTCTGAGCTCTGGCTGAAGCCCTTCCCACACTCATAGCACTGGTAAGGCTTCTCTCCTGTGTGGATGCACCGGTGAATGTGAAGGTTTGAGCTCTGGCTAAAGCCCTTCCCACACTCTCCACACTTGTAGGGCCTCTCTCCTGTGTGGACTCGCTGGTGGATGTGCAGGTTTGAGCGCTGACTGAAGCTCATCCCACATTCCCCACACTCATAGGGTTTCTCCCCAGTATGGACTCGCTGGTGGATGTGCAGTTTGGAGCTCTGACTGAAGCCCTTCCCACACTTGTCACATTTATAAGGTTTCTCACCCGTATGGACTGCGTGATGGATAAGCAGACTAGAGCTCCTGGTGAAGCCCTTCCCACACTTGTCACACTTATAAGGTTTCTCATCCGTGTGGACTGCTTGATGGATCAGCAGACTAGAGCTCCTGGTGAAGCCCTTCCCACACTGCTCACATTTGTAGGGTTTTCCTTCTGTGTGGTCTCTCTGATGAAGTGGTATTTCTGAGTTCTGACTGAAGTCCTTGCCACACCCACCACATTTGCACTGTTTGTCTGCAGTATGGATTTTTTCAGAGGGGTGAACATCTGGGTTGGTAATTGGTATTTTCCCACAGTCATTATGGTTACAGGGTTGTTCCTCTGTGTGAGCTCTCTGATGACTACAGCTAACCAACTGTGATCTCCATCTATAAATATCTTTACAGTTACCGTCAAAGGGACCCAAAGAACGCTCCAACTGTCTACTCTGGCAATTTGCCTCATGACCAAACAATGGTGACTCCAGTTCTGTTACATCAGACACAAGTTTAACTTGAAGGTTTTCTGAACAACGGTTCATCGAAAGATTTTCCCCTCTTATTACTTTTCTCTCAGTGTTTTCTTCAGTTACAAAGAGATCTCTGCTCTCCTGAGGATCCTGAAGTTCTTTCTTACAGAATTTCACAGGGGAGTCTTGTGTGGCCATTTGGCTTGGAATTTCAAAGACAAATATATTTCACTTGCAATGTTTCTGAAATCATCACTTTGAAGAGTAACAACACTATTCCTGTTTCTGTAACTATGACAAGATGCTTCTCTCCACTTTTGACACAGAGAAATATCTCAGGATCCCCATGTACTTCTCTTTAAGGATTTATAATGTAATCCAGATTCCAGGTATTATATTGTCATCTCTTTAAAAATTAGCCAGTAGATGCCATAACAGATCCTGAAGTTCTTTCTCTTGGTTTTCCACAGAACTTTCATTCATGTCTCCTAGGGAACAAGAAGAATTTAGTGATAAGAACCAAGGGTAAATTTCAAGAGAGCAGAATAGGAGTAGCTAAGGCCTGAAGACTTTGTAACTAGGAGAAAGTTCAGCTTGTCTTTCTAGTCATGTCCTTGGATTAATGTCAGGAGAAAAAGCCTTGAGTTCAGAAGTCAGACATTCCCTTTCTGATCTAAAACAAGGCCAATAATCCTGAAGAGGTTACTGAATCCTATACCCTTCTTTCCCACAAATAACATTTCATTTTACTGTATTTTACTTTTAACAAATTCTTATTTTATTGATACTCTACTTTCAGAGGTGTTGGGGATACAAGAAAATAGAAATCCTTCTGCTTAGCAAGCCAGAGCTTCCTGGGATGAAAGACAAATATATCAACAACAATAATACCAAGGTAAGTGGTACAGATGTATATACAACATAATACATGCACAACTAGCAATGGGAGCACAAAATAGGGGAAATCAACCCAAATCTTGGGGCCTTGGAAAGATTTCTCAGAGAATATGATGGCCAAAGGGGGGAAAAAGTGAAATGTCCCTAGTGGCTTGGGAGGCTGAGGCTCTAACCAAATTAGCAAGACTCTGTCTCAACACTTTACAGAAGAAGAAAAATGATCGGTCAACAAATACATGAAATAATGTTCAACATGTCTAGTAATTACAGAAATGCAAAATAAAACTGCACTGAGATTTCAACTCATTCCAGTTGGAATGGCAATTATCAAAAATACAAGTAACAATAAACATTGGTGAGGATGTGGGAGAAAAGGTACACTCATACATTGCTGGTGGGACTGCAAATTGGTGCAATCACTCTGGAAAGCAGTTTAGAGATTCCTCAGAAAACTTGGAATGAAACCACCATCTGACCCAGTTATCCCACTCCTCAGTTTATACCCAAAGGACTTAAAAATCAGCATACTACAGCGATACAGCTATACCAATGTTTACAGCAACTCGATTCACAATAGCTAAGCTATGAAACCAACCTAGGTGCCCTTCAACAGATGAATGGATAAAGAAAATGTGATACATATACACAATGGAATATTACTCAGCCTTAAAGAATGAAATTATGGCATTTGCCAGTAAATGGATGGAACTGGAAACTATCATGCTAAGTGAAATAAACCAATCCCCAAAAATCAAAGGTTAAATGTTCTCTCTGATATGTGGATGCTGACTCACAATAGGCTGGAGGAGGGGAGGGAGGGAGGTTCACTAGATTGGGGCGGGGGGGGGGCTGCGAGGCAGGGGAGAGGGGAATGGGAAAGACAGTAGAATGAATTGTACATAACTTTCGTATGTTCATGTATGAATACATGACCAGTAACTCTACATCATGCACAACCACAAAAATGGGAAGTTACACTCCATGTATGTATGATAAGTCAAAATACATTCTATTTCGATGTATAACTAAAAAGAATAAAAAATTAAAAAACAAAAGACCCTGTCTCAAAAAAAAAAAAAAAAAAAAAAAAAGCTGGGGATGTTGCTCAGTGGTTAAGCACCCCTGGCTTCAATCCTTGGTACAAAAAAAAAAAAAAAGTGAAATATGGAGAGAAAATATGTGTTTGGAAAAACTAAAAGTAGCTTATTGTAAAGCAGATAAAAACAAAGGAAACAGTGGGACTGGAGGGTGTAGCTCAGTGGAAGAGGACATGCCTAGCACATACAAGGTCCCAGAGCTTCATACCCAATTCATTTTTTCTTTCTCTCCCCCGTCTCTCTCTCTCATACACATACACACACAAAGCAGGAGGCAGAGCAAAGGGCTTGATGTCTGACACTGAGTTCTTCCAACCAAACCTAGCATTAACTGAAACCTATAAAGGATTTACATTTAGGGTGAAATAACTGTGATTTTAAACACCACTGGAAAGCAGGACTTTAGATAGACAGTTGCTATAGCAATTCATAAGAAAAATAGTAAGGGTGACTGTTGTGGAGAGACAGAGAGAAATTCATTCTAAATCATGTGATAAAAAACAAAACCTAGAAGCCTAGGGGAAAGAGACACTAAGCATGCTCTCCAGGTTCCCTGTCTGAGTGACTGGTGTGTTGGTGCTATAATGGATAGGAAGTGAAAGGGGAAAAGGTTGAAGTGGGGAAGGAGAACAGATAACAAACTTAAAATTTGACTTGTTTAATTTGTGGTGCTGGTGGGGTGTTGTTATAGCTGTCCAGGACCAGAGAGCTACATGGGTCTAGAATCCTAAGAGAATTGCGCTCAGAATACAGAGTTTACTTACTGGTATGCATGCTAGTTAAAACACAATGTCGGACTGAGGCTGTAGCTCAGTGACAGAGCACTTGCCTAGCATGTGGTTCAATCCTTAGCACCACATAAAAGTGAAACAAAATAAAGGGACGTTGTCCATCTATAACTACAAAAAAACATTAAAACACAATGTAAATATATTAGATTGCTATTAGAATAGAAATGTTGAGGAACTCCTAGATGATGGAAAACAGATTAGGAATGATGGGAAAATTAAAGAAAAAAGTACACAGCTCAAATCATGTATAGGAGAAGAATTTGGAGGTAAGGGATTCTCAAAAAGTCCTAGAAATTTAAAATCAGACTCAGAATCAACAATATAAAGCAAGACAGGCTTATTAATTCAAGTTAAGCATTCCAAATGCACATGTTGTCATTAGTAGCACCACTCTCCCAACTCTCCTCTTGCCCACAAAACCTGAAATTTTGGTGACTAACAGCAGGGACCCCATATAAAGTCTCAAGAAACATGATCAGCCAGCCAGAAGGCTCCTAATAGTATTACTTGGGCTGAAGAGAGAAGCAGAGGTTGGGTTATTGTTGAATCTACACAATGACATGACCAATTAAGGTACAAAAAGAAGCAACTGACTCCATATGTGCCCAGGATAGCCTTATGGTAACCTCTGAAGCAGACTTCGGGAGAAAGCAAGATAGCCCAGAGCTTGAGCTGGAGAAACAGGACTTGCCCAAGTAACTTACTGGAACAAAGGGGTGGCCTTTAAAAGTGGCTTCTACCATTCACCATCTAAATTTTTATTAGATTCTCCCAAGCCCAACCAGCAGAGGAATCCCTAAAGTAGAACACACATGTGCCACAGTGGTAGAGCATTGGCTGAGGATGCACAGTATACCATCATACTGGGAATACAAGACTTTTGAAAAAATATATAAGGAATCAATTAAAAAATATATATAAGTGGACTAAAAAAAACTACTAAGAGGCACAAACTCAAGAAACAGTGAACAGAGGAAATAGGATTTTAAAGGTACATAATTAAAATACCAGAGAAATCAGAGGATATCATATTTAAACACAACTGAATAATAAAAACATACTGCTATGAAAAATAAATCATAATTCTTCTAAAAAATGATTAATCATAAGTAATACCTGCTGTACCCAACTAAAGCATTCAAGTATTGGCTGCATAATTTTATGTTACAAGAACTAGTAGGATACTCATTCTGCACATGAGGAAACTCAGGCTGAAAAAGCTTAAGTGACCTGTATCACAGATAAGTGTCAGGCTATCTTATTTTAAGGCCTACAATCTACGTGGGGGAAATGGTGAAAAAGAAAATATGGCTAAGCTGGAAGATTGAGGGATTCTCCTAGAAGAAAGATAAAAGTAAAGGCCCATTTCCTACTAGTATTATGAGGGCAGTAATGGCTAACAAAGTCAGAGAAAATTATCAAAGAGAGAACAAAAAATTTCTCCCCTCAGAAATCAAGATTCAGAGCCGTTGTTAAAATGGTATGTGAAAAGACCCATAATTTTTAGGCACAGCCTTATAAAACCTCAGGAATAACAAGGCCAATCAAAACATCAACAAACCCAAAACAAAACAAAAAGCTGGGCATGGTGGCACATGCTTGCAATCCCAGCAACTCAGGAAGCTGAAGCAGGAAGATCACAGGCTTGAGAGCAGCCTAAGCAACTTTAGGGAGACCCTGTCTCAAAATTTAAAAAAATTAAAAGGTCTGGGGATATAGTTCAGTCGTAGAGCACACATGGGTTCAATCCAAGGATGAGAAACAAACAAAATAATAAAAACCCCATAAAACCCCCAAAATGCTAAAAGCAACCAGATAGGAAAGCCAGACTATGTGCAAAAAATATGAATTATATGGACATTAAACAAAATCTGGAGAAAAAGTGATTGTGCAATAAAAATTCTATGGGCTGGGGTCTTAGCTCAGTGACAGAGCACTTGCCAAATGTGTGAGGCACTAGATTCAATTCTCAGCACCATATATAAATAAATAAATTAATTAATTAAAGGTCCATTGACAACTAAAAAAAAACATTTAAAAACAATTCTATACACAGTCAATCCAATAGAAGGAAAAGAGATATTTTTAAAAAATAGTTAGTTAGTTAGTTATAGTTGGACACAATACCTTTATTTAATTTATTTATTTTTATGTGGTGCTGAGGATCTAACCTAGGGCCTTGCACATACTAGGCGAGCGCTCTGCCGCTGAGCCACAACCACAGCCCAAGAGATAATTTTTCAGATAAGAAATAATTCAATTACTGAAACATTCAGAGATGGACTGAAGTTTTTTTTTTTTTTTTAATTAAGGAAAAGAACAAAATAGAGGACACAGAGACAAATCCACAAAATTACAACTACCTTACATTAGACCAAGGTGCTAAAACCATGCAATGGAGAAAGGATAGCATCTTCAACAAATGGTGCCGGGAGAACTGGAAATCCATATACAACAAAAATTTCTTAATAAGACTCCTATAGTATAAGAATTAAAACCAAGAATTAATAAATGGGTGTCTTATTAAGAAATTTGGGGCCTGCCCCCACGTGATGAAGATTAGGGCCAACTTTATCTTCTATTAGACACAGAGTCTCTGGTCTGATTCCTAGCTCCTTGATCCATTTTGAGTTGACTTTTGTGCATGGTGAGAGAAAGGGGTTCAATTTCATTTTGTTGCATATGAGTTCTTTATATACCCTA